GAGAGTCAAAATAAACCTCCTCCCCTAGCATCTCTATGCCAGCGTCCTCATCACAGCAATGAGGAAGTGCCTACCAGAGGTGCACAGCCCCGTCACAAGGGGATCCTGACACTGAGCCCTGCCCCACCTTGGGGGCAGGCCAGGCACAGCTCGCCTGCAGAGGACCTGACGTCAGCCCACGCTGCACTGCAGGTTGCCACAGCAACAGCAGAGCAGGGCCGCGCTCCACCCCGAGCCCCCTTCAGGCTCAGTCATGCACAGTGGCCGCCAGGGCCCAGCGCACTCCTGGTGTCCAGGTCCACGAACCTTGGTGAGACGTGAGGAAAAGCGAGAAACAGCAACCCAGCATGAGACAGAGGATGCTGAAGAGCCACGCTCAGCGCACACACAAAGAACAGGAGCGGTGGAGGGGACTTTCAAGGAGCTGTGCGAACAGAGAACAGAGTGGGAGAGCGGCTGACGTACTTGAAGGGAAGGGAGAGCTTTGCCGGTAACTACAGGAGGCCAAATGGAAAGTCTGCCGGACAAGCAGCACACCTAGTGTCGGTGCAGAAGGCGTCCCAGGCACGCTCCGCAGCAGCAGAAATACGGGATGAGCAGGAAGAAGCCGCCCATGCTCGGCATCCGAGCAAGACCAAGAGGCGAGCACAGCAGGCCCAGCCGAGGGGCTGTGAGGCAGGACCGCCCAGGCTCGCGTCCATCCCCTCGGAAGAACCAGAAAGCGAGTCGGGCAAAAGAGGCGTTTTGGGTAACAACAACCAACATTTTTGTGACGAAAAAGGTTCCAAAGCACAGATTCAAACATATCAGAGACTATACACAGCAGAATGAATAGCAAGCACACACAGGTGCACACACATGCACAAGGGTGCACACACATGCACAAGGGTGCACACATACACAGGCACACACACACACATGGGCACACACACGGGGACACACACACACAGGGGCACAGACACGCATACATATTATAGTCAATGTGACAAAAATAAAAGGTAAGGAGAAAAATCTTGAATAAGCCATGGAAAAGGGCCGGCGGAATGCATAAATGGGAAACATTTCAGGCTTGTTATTATAAATGAAGAAGTGAGAAGACAGTGAAGAGACATCCTTAAGGTACTGAAAACAGAAACAGTCAACTAAGAATTCCATACCCAGCAAAACTATCTTTCAAAAATGGAAGATGAATAATCACTTTTTCAGCAAGAAGGAACTCACTGTTAGTAGACCTTCTGTATAAGACATCTTCAGGCAGAAAAGGTTTTGACCGACTCCCTGCTCTTCCTGTCTGTGTCTGCTTGTGCTGCAGTAAGGAAACACTGCAGACCGGGCATCTGGCAATGGAGAGAGCTTCTGTCAGCTCGCAGCTCAGGAGGCTGCAAGTGGCAGACTTGGGTATGGTACTCGCTGAAGGTTTCCTCTCAGTGCCTCCCCAAGTGGAGGGCTGAAGAAAGGGCAGGTAGGAGTGAGAAGAAGACCCCATCTCTGGTGAAGAGCTTGGTCCTGTGCGGCCACGCAACCCCCACGAGGGCCACGTGCACAGCACCCTGGCGCTGGCCACTGCTCCTCCCTTCCCAGCACTGCCGCCTGCAGCTCAGGGTCCCAACACCGGACCTTGGGTTCGAGGAACTCGCCAGAACTGCAGTGAGCCCAATGCAGACAGCGGAAATGGAAGCAAGGCATAAACTTGCAGCCAGACGGAGGGCAGACGTTAGAAAGCAGGAGGGATGCTTGCAAATAGGAGGAGGAGCAGAGCGTGGGTGAGAGCGAGGAGTGAAAGACAAAAGTGAAGCAGAGCGCTCTTCACCAGAGCTGGGGTCTCCTTCTCACTGAATGCAGAGATGAAGGAGGGACAGGGCAGGGGGCAAAGAGCCACAGACTGAGACCTGTCACGTGGGGGAGCCAGCTCCCCAGGATGAGTGTGGCCCTGGAGCGCTGTAGACGTGTGCTCACGGTTTCAGAAAGAAAGTATGAAATAGTGGTTTTCTTATTTGTAGTCACTCTGTAAGATCATGATTAAGCGAAAAAAAAGCCCACGTGGTTCATGGGTAGCACCAATAAAAATAAAATGCACCAATAAGGATAAATGACAGACGTCAGAAGCAAATGGGGTAAGATTGTAACGTGACACAGGAGGAGCTGAAACACCACACAGACGAGACTCCCGCGTGAGGGAGGTGCACACGAGGCCTGAGCACCTCGGATTTTAGGAGTTGGTCGAGTGCACCCCCAGTGCAGACACACTGGTCCAGAAGCGGGCGGAGAACGTGGGGAATGGCAATCTCAGAGAGGATCTGAGAAGGTCTGACCCACAGGGAGGAGTGCAGGGAAGACCAGACGGTGGGCAGACCGACCACCAGCATGGGCCACGTGCTCAGCCTCACGCATGCCTGTCCCAGGGGCCACCAAGCCTGGACTAAGTCCAAGGACGGTCACTGCCACCTTCCCCCAGAAGCAGGAGCAGGAGCAGGCTGCGCATGTCGGGGCAGACTGGGCCCTTCCAGGACAACGCAATGTCCCCACAGCCCACACGCTTGCAACCAAAGGCTCTGACTGCTTGCTCTGATTTGTCTGGTTTCTGTTAGACTAGCCCAGCACAACTTTGGCACTGCGCTCACTCCCAACTGTCTGAACGACTGCACAGTGCAGAACAGGAGCTGAAGGCTGGAGAATGCTGGAACTGCTCCGACACCTCTGAGCTCTGACCCAGGTCCCCCGGGATCACCGGGAATCTGGAGACACAGTGCACTAAACGACCTTGGAGTCCCCTTTGCACCATTAATATTTTATAATTCGTCTCTTTCAGAGAAAGTGGCTTTGGTTTGAGAAATTTCCTGTCAGCGACCACCTGGAGTGAAGGCCTGCTGTGCAAACAAGGCCCACGAACCACCACAAGTACATGACGGCCAGCCTGCCCTGCAGAATGTGCAGTCAGCGGCGGGGGCCTGCCGCCCGGGCTGCCTGGCTGGGCCTCAGCACCGACTCACGGAGCCCGGTCTCCACACACTTCCAGCTTCTGCTGAGGCGCCCATCTTTGCTGGCAAACAAGACTTCTGCAAGCGCTCTGTTGGGGGACTGGGACTCCTTCCCTGGGTGCGGAGCCAGAGGCATCCCCAGTAATCTCCTGCCTGGCCACACCCTCGGAGTTCTTAGCTCCCCAGTGGGGCACAGGCTGAGCAGCCCGAGAGCTGCGTGCCCAGCCGACCACCTCTGAGGAGAAGGGCTGTCTGCGGGCAGGTACACAGCGGGGACAGACTCTGAGTGAGCAAGGGTAGACCTGTGTGCACAGTTGCTCCCATACTTATTTTGCAGACATATTTTAGTTAGCCTTCAGCTCAGAGGCTTGCAGATGGGCAGCATGTATTTAAGGTAGCTGTCCGAATGCATCATGGAGTAAATTACTAGAAACCCTTGGCCGGGTGCGTCGAAAGCCCATATGCCATCAGACGCTGACTTTAGTGAGGGCAATCTCAAAACAGTTCATGAGATCTATGTTGCAGGCTCTGAAGGTGAAGAGCAAGAAAATGACCTCCTCCTAACATCCGAAGGGCTGGACTCTCACAATGGTGTCAGCTTCGGAGAACAGTCGCTTGGAAAAGAAACTGACAAGTAAAATGTGGCTCCGTGCTTGGCCAAAGCAAAGACTAAGGCATGTGGGATTCCGCAGATGCAACCCACCTTCTCAAGGAAAGCCTTGATTCCTGAGCAAGGTCTGTGTCCCTGAGAAATAGGCTCGTCTCCCCTTTAGGGAACTATTTTGAGGAGGAACAAAGTGGAACGTAACTAATCACGCTGCTGGTGCTGGAAGCCACAGGAGAACTCAGTGACTGCAGACAACCCTTACAGACTAATTATTCTACCAGCGTCTCTTTCCACATAATGTAAACGTACAACCAGAAACTACAAGATAACTTTCAGTCGGAAGAGCATTTATCCATTCTAAGGCTGCTAACAACATAAATGAATATATTACCGGTATAATGGGTAAAATACATATATTTTTATCTGCAGAGGCTTACAAAGTGTGTCAATGTAGACACACCCTAGGCAGATCACACCCACGCAATCACCTTAGGCTACACCTGAAACCCGTCTATGCACGCGAGTCAGAAGGCAATTTCTTGTGAGGTCTGACAAGCCAGGGACTGAGCCAGAGTGTGCGCCAGGCCTGCAGCTTGTGACTGGCTCAGAATATTTATCATCAGCGGGGAGTCTGGCTTTTCACAGGATGCATGCTCCATGTCCTAATAGACTATTTGTCTCACTTCAAAAAGTCACTTATTAAAGCATACCTGTGTATTTGCTTCTCTCTAACTTCTTATTAAAGGAGATGCATACCAACATTAAGCATTTTTAGTGCCTGAAAGCTTGTCCTAAAATAAAGCCCCTCTCACTGGAAATTCACACTTACCTTTCCAAGTCTACCTGGTAATCAAACACCCAAGGAGATTTGTGAAGCTGACCTTTGTTATCCCATGTACCGGGCTATTAACACAGTCTCTCCTGCGTTTTGGAAAGGTTAGCATCCCCTCTGCGAAGCTGTCTTCCAGCTAAAGTGAGTCACGCATGTGCGTGGCCCTGACATGGTTCCTTCTCGTACCTCTTATTTTAACAGCCCTTGAGACTCGACACATGAACGGCCTAGGACAGTCCACTTGGAAGTTAAGAGTCTTCTGCGGCTTTGGACGTTAATATCAGTATTTGCTAATACTCATAGGGAAGTTCACATTACCACAAACGGCTGAGCACTGCGGCCTTGCCACCAGCAGCCTGAGACACAGCTAATTATTCCAGCTCCTGAGTCCTGTTTTTCCAGTAATCTCTCGTCTTGAGGTGTTTTCCACAGAACCTGGGACTGGTAAGATTCGACTTAGTGCCCATTTCACAGATCGCTTTAGACCAATGCATTTCACTATTTAAAGAACAGGGTATTTTTTGTCTTTTTAAAAAAAAATTGCTCAGTGGAACCAGGAAAGACACAGGGGTGGGGAGCTTACTCTTGTACTCCAGGTGGAAGCCCGCCGCGGCCACACTGATGTCGGACTGGAAGTGCAGGTAGAGCTGGTTGGAGGTGCTGTTCAGCAGGGCAGGCACCGTGGTCCCTGCAAGAGAGAGCGCGGGGGTTCCACAGTGCACAGCACCTGACGCAGAGCTCGGGCGGGGCTCGGGCTGCTGTGGCCCCTCTGATCAACCTATATCAAATCTGACCACAGTGGCCTGCTGTGGCCGTCATTCATGCAGCCATTCTACCTTTACAGGGAGGGGAAGTCCCAGGGCAGGCCTTTGGGCCTCAGTGTAGCACCCCAGGACACCAGCACACAGACCAGCATCTGCTATGGACTTGGGGTTCACAGAGCTTTTAAACGATGTGATTGGACTTTTGAATTGCTATATTCAGCACGACTGGAGGAACAGAATCCTAGGGCCTGCTCTTGCACAGGCTGGGAGGTGCGTAGGCACTGCTCCCTGCAGGTGCCGGGCAGGCTGCCTCTGCAGCCTGTCAGCCACTGCATGACTCCCACTGCGCGGTGCTCCCTCGGAGCTGTGCAGATGGCTCCTTCACGTGTGTGAAAAGTGACGCCCTGCTCACATTCACGTAAAGCCGCCCTTACAGTGCTCAGGCCTGTCCAGGGTGACCGGGACGTCCAGGTAGGAGCACAGCCAAGGCTGCACGCAACACGGTACAGTGGGAAAGAAACGGGCTCAAGCCAGCAGCTGAAGACAGTCTTGAGGGCTGTGCCACCCTGTGGGGTACAGTGGGGGTGCTGAGGAGCCTTCCCTAAGCGGTGTGCCGGGCTCTCCACTGTGCCGACACTGTGCTCTAAGAAAGGCGGGCCCGGGACAGGTACCTGGGGAGCGGCCATTGTGAAACACTCCACAGCGCACCCGGACAGCGGCGGTGCGCGAGGAGCTAGCAGCAACTCTGCACAGAGCAGGCAGGCAGTGCACGCCTCAGCACTTGAGGGAGACGCCGGCTCTCAGGAGCGAGAGGTCCTGTGTCCTGATTGCCGCTCGGTGTCTTCATCATCCCCGGCAGCTGCAGCCAGCGAGCGACCCCACGATCAGGTCCAGCTGGTCCTGACCCCCGGCACCCACATCTAAGCCTTTTCTGACACAGGATCAGGCAGCTGTGCGAAGGGCCTCTGCCTGGGGTGTGGGGACCCCGAGGTCCTGCCTCTCCCTGGAGGATGCTGGGACGTGGCCGAGGCGCCCTGCCTCCTCGGTCCTCACTTCAGCCTAGAATGTGGACGACCGCATCCTGCAGGCCCAGGTCCTGGAAGCCTGAGGCCACCGCAGGCCCAGCGCACAGCCGGGCACCTGCTGCGCTGAGTGTGGCTTTCTCCCAGGGGCCAAGGGTGGGGACTCCAGGGGAACAAGAGGGCCTAATGCCCTCAGAGCACCTGGCTGTTGGCTATAGTCTGCAGCCACACAAAGGACTTCTCAGCGTTTCGATGGGCATATAGAACCTCTTACTATTTATTTTATAGTACTGGAGATTGAATCCAGTGCCTTGCCCGGGTGGGACTCAAACATGCAGCGTGATCCTCCTGCCTCAGCCTCCTGAGAGCTGCACCGGCAGGCAGGGCCATCACACCGGGCTGCACACGCAGAACCCTTCCCTGGATGCATAAGGAGCTCCTGTCCCTTGAGCGTGTTCCTTCTGGAGCATGGCGGCATCTCTGGCCACGCGGACCCGCTCACTGGAATAGGAAGCAAAGGAGGGCTGAAGAAGAGCTCTGCTTCTGACAGCCTGCACTGCTCACTGCCTGCACAGGCGGGTTCCCAGGTGGAGACGCGGGCTTGGCCTCCACGCGGCTTGGTCTCTGTGAAGGAAGCTGGTTCCCAGGGGTGCGGACTGGTCGGGTCCAGGTCACCGTCAGGCCCCGAGCAGCACCATGCGTGTGTGCGGAGGGAGCAGGAGCAGGCCCTGCCTGCCCTCAGTCCTGTGCTGCTGGACCCTGAATCTCCAGGGTCATGGGCCACAGACGAAGGAGGAAGAGACGCAAGACTGAGGGAGATCAGGACGCAGACGGGTGATAGGCAGCCACACGTGGCTAACACTTTCCACAGCTGAACAGCTGTGGCGGTGACCAGGCCCCTCAGCACCAGCTTGGTGAGCAGGCTCATCACCTGAGGTGAAGCAAGCAGACACAGAAGCAGATGGCAGCCGCGTGTCCAGGGCAGTACTGGCCGCCCAGCACCGAGGAAGTTCTCTTGTGGACAGTGAGGGTGGGCAGTGGGACCCAGGGACCCGGAGAGGCCAGCGGTAGCAGGTGAGCACAGTGTGCCGGGGGCTGCTCGTGGCCCAGCCCAGCCCTTCTCACATGAGACAAGAAGCCTCGCGTGATGCCTGTGCTCTCTCCGCCGCGCTGGCGCTGCGCTGCGGGCAGCCCCGCGTCATCCTGGCATCGCTGGCAGTGAGTCTGGTCCCTCCTATGCTGGCGGAGACTCAGCCACTGTCCCCCCCACTGCTTCCCTCTTGTCCCCCTGCCGTCCCCCAAGGGCTGGGTCATCACTGCCTGCATTCCTCCTCTCCCAGAAGCCCCACCAGCCACGTGCGCCGGCCACGTGCCTGTGCTCTGGTTTCAAGGGTGTGGACTCACCTCTCACAGTGGCACACAGTTGGTTCAGCGCTCTAAACGTAGCCCCTTGCGGGTGAGATTCTGTCTTACACAATTCCAAACTGTTTTCTGCTCCCTGCATGGTAATGTGAACACACAGGCCTTCGGTTCGGCCCAGGCTCTCTGATGTTTCCTGGTTCATGCTCCACGCTGCATCACAGAAGCCTCCATGGCTGGTGGAGGTGCTCACCAGGGCATGGTCACCAGGGTGTGGTCACCCGAAGATGGTCACCAGGACGTGGTCACCAGGAGGTAGTCACAGGATGTGGTCACCAGGAGTGAGCCTTTGCGAGGTCCATATGGGGCTCGCCACTTTCCCTTCTCCCTTTCTAGCCACGGTGTGGGCCCAAATCCACAATGCACCACTCCTCCTTGGGCGGATGCTCTCAGATACTTTTCCAAGGGATGAGAGTCCAACAGAGATCGGTCCTCCTACGTCAGTCCTCGTGATAATTTCAGCAGCTGGTTCCAGGAGTGAGGGCCACGCTGTATGTCTGTGACAAAGCTCCATCCCCTACCACCCACTGAGGGCACAAGATCTCCGTGCCCACATGGCCTGAAGGCCAAGCAGGTGTCCCCAGCCGTGTCCCACAGCCTGGGCTCTCCTGGGCTCTGTTTTCCCTTCGAGTATTGCTCCTACGGGACCATCAGAGCTACTTATTCTCCACTCAAAACGCAGCTGAGCAGTTTTTTTAAAATTTCCAGAAGCAGAATATTTGTGATCACACTGTCTTCCTGTGTCCTCAAGAGAAGAACACATAACAAAGTAAACCGGGAAATCCCAGCGCTGTCCCCAAAGACACACGCTGGCTCTCGGCACACGGGTACTTACGCCCCTTTAATACTGATTGCCAGCTACAAATGCATACGCCGTTTGCACTGCTTCACTCGCTTATAATTTACAACCTGCCTGCTTCCAGAGTGATTTTACACGACTTGGGGAAGGCGAGGCCCCAGTCCTCCGCCTGCCCGAGAAGCAGTGAAAACTCAAAGCACGGAATACACTGAAGGTGTCGATCCTTTTTCCTGAAGTATAAGCCTTTTACGGCTGCTCATTCTTGCCTGTTTTTCTTCAACGTCTAAATTTTAAATGGGTTTAATATCTCCTTTATAAATATTTTTAAATATCATAGGAATAAAAATGTTTAAATATTCATTATGCTCTAACGTCTCAGACTTCTTCACCCACGCGTCATTTTCCACATGGCATGTGACGCTTTTCATATATCTCACTCTAAAAAGTTGGAGATACTTTCTTACTTACAAATGTTTCACATACAGTACAGGTGTCTGGCCTCCCCACTACCTCTCAGGACATCACACAATTATGTGCACCTCTGTTTGTCTATAATTCATATGTATCTGCACGCATGTTGTAGAATTTTCTAATTATTTTTGGGTAAGCCACACATGCGCTTTTTTACTTCTTGGGGAAGTCTGCTGTGGATTTCTTCAAACACTACAGCTCTCAAGAGGAAGACCAGAGTGGACCGCATGCGGTGGCCTCTGCTCCGGACCTTACCCCAGGGCAGGACCAGCTGCGACAGAAAAGCTCCTGCAGACGGCCGGGGCGTCGTCCCCGCGTCTCACTGGGGCCCGTCAGGCAGCGGGGCCTTTCCTCTGGCTTTGTCCTTTCTGACCGTGACACAGTTACAACCTGAAGGCCAGCTTTTGCACACTACTGCTTGCTCCGAGTCTGTACTCTGCTGCGCATGATTCAAGTTGGGCATGAGGCAGGCCCGGGGATTCCAGGAGCGGGGAGCATCGCTGCCTGGCTCAGCGGGGGACAGCAGGGCACTGCTACAGCCAGCCACAGGGTGGGCATCGACGCCTCAGAGATCGGGCCTTGCTGCTAACGTCTGAAATGTTCTCAGGAGCCAGGCTCTCCGGAGGCCAGTGCGCGCTGAGCACTGAAGCTCCTCCTAGCGTCCCTGCTCGACTGGGGGAGGCAGGGAGGGCCTGTGCCAGCGACATGAGTCCTGCTCTCTGCACTGAACAAACACCACACCGCTCTCCAACAAAGGAGGCTGGCTTCTGGTCCTGAGCGTGGTCAGGGCTTGGGGACAGGCCGCGGCTGCCTCACTGACCCTCGCTGTGGACCTCAGACGCACACAGCACAGCGCGTCCCCCCAGAGAGGCCTGAGCAAAGGCAGAGCGAGCGCAGTCTCCATGCAGGGCAGGATGTGGGCACCTCCGCCGCACGCAGCCCAGCATGCTCTGTGCACTGCACGCGTCCAGCACTGTGCTGGTGCCCTTTCCCTCTTGGTAGTCTGGGCCATCTTCTGATGGGCACCATGTCCCCGGGGGTGCTATGGGACTGAGAGAGAAATCCTCCCAGGGCTGAGGGCAGGAAGGCCTCCTCAGAAAGAACAGAACAGGGAGAGGCGCTCCCAGGGCAGAGTAGACGGGACCAGCCTGGCCTGCTGGGCTGCGTATGAGTACGGCCCATCCTTTGGCTGATTTATAAAAAAGGACTTCTCTGGAGGTGGAGAGGATCCTGAGCCCTCTCCAGAGTGAACACACATGAGGGCATGCAGTGGGCAGTGGCCGGCCGCCAGGACTGTGTCCCCCAGAGAGGAGGAGGATCGTGGGGATGCACATTGTCCCCTCCAGCCACAAGAAGGGTCCTAACAACAAATCCTGCTCTTCTGACCTCAGAGGAGACCACAGCGAGCGGAGGAAAGCCACTTCTGGAGCAGCAGAAACCACGGAGCCCAGTGACCTTCAGAGGTCAGAAAGTTGCCACAGGGAGGGGAGAGTCTCAGGCACTGGGCGGGAAGATGGAGCTGCAGGTGGCAGCGGACTCAGGTGCTGAGGAGCAGGAGCCTGAGTGGGGGATCCGGCATGGGCCCCAGGAGAGGCACAGCCCAGCACCTGGAGCCCGAGTGCCTGGGCCCGCACCTCCTCCCACCCTTGGCCTCGTCCTGCCCTGGAGTGCCCCGGCTTCCACTCGACAGCCAGCCGCCACTGCTGCACGCCCTTACCTGCCCCCTTTCCCTGGCCTCCTGGTCTAAACCCCAGGGCACATTATGGAGGGGAAGAGGTTTGTGGGGCGATGTCCCCGGGACTGTGGTACTGCCACGGCTGCCAATCCCACGGCACAGAGCACAGGGCTGGGGTCACCATACCTGAGAAGCTGCCCAGTCTCGGGGCACTTGCCTCCCCGCCGTCATGGATCTCCAGCGAGTCCCAGTTCTGCTCTGTGGCGAAGCTGATCACCTGGATCTGCAGGAGCAGAAGATGCGTTAGGGGGCAGCAGTGCCCCAGGAGGCCGGTCTGGTCAGAGGAGGGGTGCTCCGGATGGGCAGCGGAAGCACCCAGACAGGAAACAGTGCATGAGGTGACTTGTGAACACCACTGAACGTGACATTTTTATAGTTTTTATTTTCAAAATCGATTATTTCTATTCCAAATATAGAAACATTATTAGATGCATTTTGTGGAAATACTAAGAAAAGATAACTAGAATATATCTATGTATTTAAAATAATCAACAGAAAAGAGAAAACAGACAGAAAAGAGAAAAGTAAACCAAAGTAGAAAAGAAAAGGAAAGAGGGGTTGGGTAGATAGCTTAGTAGAATAAGCACCTTCTGGCAAACACAAGGTCCTGAGTTCAATCCCCAGTACAGCAAAAAGAAAAGAAAAGAAAGAATGAAATGAAATGAAATGAAATAGAAAATAGGAAAGACAGAAACAAGAAAGGAAGAGAGAGGATGAAAAGAAGGGAGGGAGGGAGGGAGGGAGGGAAGGAGGGGAAGAGGAGGGAGAGACAGGGAAAGAGAAATGAAAAAGAAAGGAGAGGAAAGGAGAGGGGAAGGGGGAGGGGGAGGGGAAGTGAGGGAGGAGGGGAGGGGAGAGAGGGGGACAAAGCAGGGGAGAACAGGAGCGGGGAGGGGAGAGGGCAGCAGGAAGCCCAAGCCCGCCACACAGTGAGCCCCGCAGGGCATGAGGCTGCCAGCATGACGCACCTGAATCCCAGACCCCTCTGTCACTAGGATCCTCCACACACAGTTCAGGTTGTTGCCGTAGGGCTCAGGGTAGCCAGGGGACAGAATCGTGCCTCTCCGCTGGGTAAAATTGCCACTGCAAGGAACTGAACGACATGATCACATTTATTGAAAGAAAACACTGTGGGCACCACGTTCTTTCGGCCTTCAGCTTCCTACTGCCGTGGGAAAGCCAGCTAGAGACTTCCCCGTACTTTCAGTGGCATTTCTCACCAAGACAAAGGTCAGGCTCTTAAATTAGCAATATCAGTGATTATCAATTATGCTAATTAGCTCTGGTCTTAAGCCTGTAAATAAATCATTTCAGAACTCATACGAAGTGACAGCTAATAACAATGGTGTCTCTCAAGTGCATTCTGCTCCGAATAATTTATCCGCTTAATCCAGGGATCATGGCAGAGCAGTGTCCCTCTGTGCAGACCGCAAGTCCAAAGGAAGCTGAGGGGCCGGATGCGCGAGTCCCGGGAGAAGAAGAGGTGCTCAGAGCGCACAGGGCTAATCGTGGCTGCACTGGAGGTTCCTACACTGATGAGACACGCCTTAACCACCACCACCACTGTTACTCCAGCTGCATATTCCTATACTCCTCAAGCACCCATCAGCGCAGCTGGGCCAGAAGGGCGCCAGCACGCAGTGCAGCAGGTTGGCGTGAGGAGGCGCTGCCGACAAGGGCCGGGCCGCGTGCCCATCGCTCTAGGATGAAGGCACACTTGGCAGGCACGAAGAGGGACAGCATGTTCTGCCTGTAGGCTCTGTTCAGCTGCTTTATCAAGTAATAATTTTAAGGATTTAGCTGCTACTCGATTATTTTTGGTAAAGGAAACCATGCTCTGTGTAGGTCACGAGCAAGGTCAGTTCCGCGGACCAGGCAGCCACTGAGCAGCCATCTGGGGAGGTCCTAGGCCCTCGCATGGCCTGGCGACCACGTGGGGACAGCCTTACCCACGCAGCTCGGGATGGTGTCGTTCCACTGTGCCAACGCGTTGGGGACCGACTGGCAGCGGATGGCCGAGGACCCCTGGAGCAGGTACCCTGCGTTGCACTCAAACCGCACGATGGAGCCTGCCGAGAACTCAGACCCAATCCTCCGTCCATACCGGGGCTCGGGGACAGAGCTGCACTGGGTGTCGCTGGTGCGGGGCACAGCTGGAGGCAAAGCACACAACACAGCCGTGAGCGCCCTGCCAGGAGTGATGCCTCCGAGGCGGAGGAGGCACAGGACCCAGACTCCTGCAGACACAGAAATGATGTCCTACTGGTCTCTGCAGGTGTGTCTAGGGCAAGGGCCCCCACACATCCAGCTGCGGCCGCCCCAGGGACCACCTCAGAGTCCCCTTCAGACAGTGTCACACAAGGAGAGCAAGCATCTTCTCCTGTGTGGCTCCACACGCACAATGCGCAGATGCCGCGCGCCTCCCACGGCCATGGTGCCAAGCTGGTACCGCCCTCAGTGACCTCAGCCTCTGCAAACACCACCCTCTGAAGGGCTCCTGACCATGTGGCCTTTGCCATGTGACAATAAAGTGAGAACAGGGTCACCACATGATCCAGTGATTCCATTTCTGAGTGTTTATGCAAAAGAAATAAACGCAGGGCTCCAAAGACCCCTGCCCTCCCGTGGTCACTGCAGTGGTATGCGCTGGCACCATGGTGCGGCTGCAGCCTAAGGGCCTGCCAGCGAGAAACACAGAGGAGAACTGTAGATGCGTGGTAATTCAGCGCATCTGTGATCTGCATGTGGTGGAACTTTATACAACCTAAAAAGGAGCACCCTTCCCTCGCGGGCAGCGGATGTCTGGGGCGCCGGGTGAAGTGAAAGGAGACCCACTCCAAGGGCAGTCATGGCACGATGCCACTGCCAGGGCGAGGGAGACAGCTGGGATTCAGAGGAGCGCAGGCACAGTGGCAGCCACCGCAGGTCGCTGGAGAAGCGGGCCGTGGCTGCTCAGGGACAGCGACGCTTCTGCCACGTGCGCTGGGCAGGCTGGAGCAGGCAGGGCTCCGCCGCGCACAGTCCTAGCATTAGACACTTAAAACTGTGTCAAGAGGGTAGAGTCCAGGTGAGCTCAATGAAAGAGACAGCAAAAGCACTTTTGGAAACAGAATTGAGCTATCCAGGGTGTTTGGAGAGACGCGCCAGGTGAGTGAGGTCAGCCCTGCAGCCACTGAGTCCAATTAATTGACATATTTTCTATCAGCAGACAAAAGCTAACAACCGCGTGCTACAGAGCCATGCACTTGATGAAATTAGTGATACATCTGAATGGAGCCATTTTGTGGTGCTAGGGGGATGCAGAGCAGCTGCTACGCCTGGCGGCGCCACAGCTGTCTGCCATGCTTGTGCCCTGGGTGTCCAGATGCAGGAGTGCAGGATGGAGGGTGCTATGGTACCTCAGGGGCTTCTGACAAGACAGAAGTGTTTTCCTACAGTGATCATTTTCCTCCTCATGCAGATCACATGGAAGGAACATGCAATTTATGCAAGGGTTCCACTTGGTTAAGAAGCCAGGGGCATGAGACGTCTCTGTGCACTCCCAGGAGTCGCTGTCCCTCCAGGTCCCCAAACATGAGGGGAAACACAGCCAGTAGCATTACATTCCCCCAAGTTGCCACGAAAACTTCCTCATGAAATTCGTGTTCAAGGAAAATGACCTAAGAGAATCCCACCAGCATTGGAACGCAACACTGGAGAGTGGCTTCCAGGGTATGAAAGTGCAGGAAGCACACAGGAGAGGAATGCCAAGCATCTCAGAAGATGGGCAGCAGGACGCTCCCACGTGACCCAGACCTGCTTGCACCTGCACGCGGGCGGCCCCTGCCGGGAGCCACGTTCCTGCCTGGCTGGTTCTCTCCTGACCTGGACCCTACAGGTGGCATCAGACACTCCATGCGCTACCAGAATTATTTCCAACCTCTCAGTAATGTTTTACTCTGCTGTAAACCAAAGCTGCAATCAGCCTTGTGACAGTGAGTGGGCAGCAAGGTCAGCCTGGCATGCAGGGGCAGACCGAGGCTCTGAGTGACTGCCCCCAGCAGCAGTGCGGCAGCAGAGCAGGCTGTCCTCCGGGACCCGTGCGGCCCTGAGCGGGCGGCCGTGCAAACAGGGAAGGTTCACCTCTGACTCATGCAGCAGCCCGACCCGCGCTGTCCTCCTGCGCCCCACGACAGCTGTGCCAACACCACAAGGAGCAGCCCTGGGTGCGTGCAGGCGCAGCGCACAAGACCAGACCCATGCTTTGCTGTCGTTCAGCGATCCAGGGACATGCTCCCTTTCTCAAGTCATGCTCCTCTGATTGGGCTCAGTCAGCTGCACGGGGCTGGGGGAGAATCTCATCTGACAAGCCCTTACTAGTCAAGGAACTAAAGAAACTGTTCCTGAGTTTAAAACAAAACTTGATGCTGAATCTTCTTTGCCAAAACCATGTATCTTCTAAGCTGTTGATCCAAAATACACACCCTGAGAGGTGGAAAATCAGCAAAGCCTTGTAATTCATGTCTTCTAGGAAGAGAAGCAGCCCAGGCAAAAGCAACCAAAACGCACACATGCATGCCTGCGAGGGGCTAGAGCCAGGACACCCAACAGAATTTTCCTGCCTCACTCGGGGTGTCTTGTGCTTCCAGTTCAGTTCATCTTTCTTTGTGGGAGGATCAGAAATTGCAGGTGAGACCTCATGCCTGCCAGGCAGGTGCCGTGCTGTGGAGCTACCCCCTGGCCCTCAAGGGGGACGCTCAGTTACTACACTCTCTCGAGCGATACGGAAAGTGACTTCAGCATCCCGACAAGGCGAGACCGAGGCACAGCCTAGGACCTGGGCCACGGGGCATGGGGGGGATGACGGAGGGGTGTGGCTTCGTCCTTGTTTTCTCCCTCACACTACAACAAATGCCACAGCTTCCTGAACTTGGCATGGGTTACTTGAAGAGAGCCGCAAGTCGCTGAACTGTGTGTCGAAACCCGAGGAAAACAGGCTGTGTGTGACAACGACCAGGCATAAACACGGAAGGCAGTCAGCACAGAGCCTTGCTGAGCAGAGACAGCACCAGGCACAGCGAGCTCAGTCGGCTGCACAGGGGGAGGCAGCGTGGCAGATGCCCTCCCCAGATGGGAAAGTGCCCGGAGGAGCCGGCCTGTCCCCAGGGCCGGGGCTACCTAGAATACTGACCGGCAGGTATTCTGTGTCCAAATGAAGAGCTAAATGTGAAGTCATGAATTGCAGAACAAAACTGAAGTCTGCTCTCACAATGGGAGCAAGAGAGGGCTCAGGGCACTAAGAAGCGGTGTGCTCAGCCTCCGCAGGGACCGAGTAGTCGCCTTCAGTGCAGCACACTGCGGCGGGACACAAGGACCACACTGCGGCCAGGACATGAGGACCACACTGTGGCCAGTACGCGAGGTCACTGTGGTCACTGCCGCCAGCGTGAGAGGACCACACTGCCGTGGGGTCACAGGCAGATGATCGCAGGCCTGGCCACTGCTGACAGTAAAGGGACAGGCAGCTCAAAAGCAAGACATAGGAGAGCAGAGGCCCTGCACCCAGGACCGCGAGGGCTGGGAGGCAGGAGGGAAAGCTGAGCAGGATGCAGGCTACAAGGAAGTGACAAGACTCAGCATTCAGTGTTCAGACTCAGAACTGCACAGCTCCAGGGTCGCAGGGAGCTCGGCTCGCGGAGGGGAAGAACGAGCCAAAACCACTTGGGAGGGCTAGGGACAGCATGGCCCTCAAATTCTCCCCGAGACAGGTCTCCTGCAGCATTTGCTTCTCACTTCCACTGGCTGAGGATCGGGACAGAGGTGGAGGAACTTGCGCCACAGGGAAGGCTGCTGGGGTGCCGGGCTGCAACAGCACGTGTTGGTACATGGGTCATCTCCCTCAGGCCAACGCACCTGACACCTCTGAAGACTTGGGAGCCACACAAGTGCATGCCGCACACGGTGGCAAAGTGCTCAGCATTCTGAACAACCCAGAACCTCCACAGAAACCCTTCCCAGGCCCTGAGTCACCCCAGGTGGTCTGCCTCAGCACTCCCAACAGAGGCCAAGCTTTCTGCATGTTGTGTGTTCTAATTCAACCTCTTTCCTCCCTTTCCAAATGCAGCCTTCCACTCAAAGACCGTGGCAAACTAGCTGACCTCAGAAAATACTAGGTTCCTGCAGATAACCTGGAAGAGCTTCCTTACCAACATGCTTCTTCATGAGTTTAAAAGGTGGTTCCACCAGCCTTACTTGCACCTCCACATTATCAACGTGGAGCCGTGACAGGCAGGAACAAGGAGCCGCCAATGGCAACTGCTGCTCACACATAAGGAGTCACATTTGGCCCGGGCTTGCCTGTGGTGTGCTTCGCCACATCTCTATCAGCTCCATCCAGGGGAACCCTCTGTGTGGCTGTTAACCAAGATTAGCGTCCTAGAGCAACGAAATCATAAACTTGCTGGGCAACCCTGAAGCTTTAGTAACCTAGAAGAACGAAGCCACGTGCGGGAGGGAAGCACTCCTCAGTGCCACTGGACACGACAACGTGCAGAGAGCTCCCGTGCTTCGGATGCCAATGACTGTTCACGACCTGATGTTCAGCTTAACTTTTCATATGGATCAAACACGTTCCCTGCTGCTCATGAGTGGCTTAAAAATTGCTTCTGGGATCCTCTTTCCTCACCACGAGAGGCTTTGGACTTGGAAGATGACACTGACTTTCACATAAACTCCCTGATGGAGAACACGAAACCGAGGTGAGTCGGGACTTTATAAAATCTCAAAGCGGCTACAGGCACTGCACGTTCTTAAGAGCAAGGCAAGCAGGCTGCTTTGGAGGTTCATTTTCCTTTCTGCACTTTCCACATTTTCATGATAATGCACACTTTCAAATTAAGAAGCATAATTTTTAAAAGCATGTTTTCTGAGGATGGCACATAAAGATAAAATAGGGCCTCTTGGAGTCTATGAGAATGCCCTAATATTTATAGAGATCAAAGGAAGCCCTTACACAATGGGACAGAATTGGAGACTTGAACATGTCGGGGAAAGGTATTTAAATCAGTCTAGTTTCTTTATGTATAGCAAGGCTCGGGAATCTGCTTTGGCAAAGTAAGTTATAAATTAAAGGAAATTTGCAGTGGACAGAAGCAGGCTGCTGCAACTGGCCATTCACTGGCCATCAGTGGTCTGCTGCTGATTAATTACACATGCTTTAATGAAGGTGAAAGCCTACAACGATGTAGCTGCCTCTGCTTCAGCAGCAGCAGCTCTCCATCAGCTGCGGCCTGAGTGGGATGACACACGTCTGGCCCCTTCCTGGCCTGGCAAACATCACCGCCATGCTTTAATCTTTAATCTCACTGCTTAAGCTGGAGGACTTGACAGCACGGCTTTACAGTGTGAGACTATCAGGAAGGACTTATCTACACGATGACATTGTTATTCTATGTACTTTTGAGAAAATATCATAAAGAAAGCTTTCTGGAGACATTTTTATAAAGGAAAGGAAGCCGTGGCGCGGCCTCAGAGCACAAGCCAGACTGCAACGGCTGAGCGTCGCCTCCCGTTCTTGGGCCCACACTTTATCTCTGCAGCCCACAGCCTCCCTTGGATTCTGCCCTGTCCCTGGCAGTCCCTGGCGGTCCTTGGCGATGCCAGGCAGTCCCTGTCTCTGCTTCCAAAAGTGCAAGCGTGTCTGGGCCACTTTCTCAAGTTTATAGAATGAACACAAACAGCAAAGAGGAAATGCGGTTGGCAAAAATAATTCCTCCTTTTTAGGGTTTTGAGCACCATGAGCAAGCTTTAAATTTAACAATGAGCATGAGAGCACAGAAGTGCCAAGCGGGGCAACCGAGGAGCAGCGCGGAGGCAGGAAATCCCGCCGGTGGGGGTCCTGCAGGGAGTTACTCCAGTGATACCTGGTGCCTTGTTTTTTGTGGGTTTTTTTTTGGCTTTGTTGTCTTTAAAGTTTGTTTTTACAATGAAATTCAGAATTAAATTCTGAATTATGTGTTTTAACTTCATTTTATTAAAGTGATGACAAGGTCTAACCAGTTTTCTTCATTAGATAAACACTGTGTCTGCAGTCATTTGGCAAGATACATAGAAAGAGCAGGCAGTGCTGGGGATCAAGCCCAGGCCTTAGACACACAGGTGAGCACAGAGCCACAGGCCCCGGCACAGGCAGCGCGAGAGAAATACTGTGTCCTTCTAGGCCAAGCGCCAGCTCAAATGTGGAGAGACCAACTAACGTTTCCATGAAGTCACTTCATGACACATATGTGCGAATCTCCAGCTGATTAAGTAACCCCAAATGCCAGGTCCTTTTTTTTGGGGGGGGGGGACTGGAAATTGAACTCAGGCCCTCAGGGAAGCGCTTATTCCACTAAGCCATCTCCCCGGCCACATCCCAAATGCAGTTCTGACACTTTCTGCCATCTGCCCCAGCACAGTGCAGAGGGCGAGGGGCGGGCAGGGCGGGCGCTGAAGCCTTTACCTTGATAGAGGAAGTGGAAGCCCCTGGCCGATGCGCCGCTGTTCGCGCTGAACCGAAGGAGAATTTGATTCGACGTGGCTAGAGGCAATGTCTCCCCTACAAATACAAACAGAGACAGTAGCAGGGCGCCACATGGCGCAGGGCGCTGGCATGCATCTTAGTCTTCCGGAAAGTAAAAGCCAACTTGAAATTTCACAACAAATTTAAGCTTTTTATATAAATTTCACACTGGGGCTTAAGACCTACACATAATGTTTTATAAAGATTTCAAAACACTGTTCTTGCCATGTGTTCTATTAAAATGAACTATAATCAATGTTCCATTGATTTTCTTGAGGACAGGACAAGCAATATTTTTAGCTGACAATGTAGGAGATAGAAATATCAAGTGAATTTTCTACTTTAGATTCATTTGATCATCACTTGCTAAGTTTTTATTTAAACTCAGGAAAATTTCCTGGGATTCAAAAATCTCTCTCTGTGTTAATGACTCTGAAAAAGTCTTCCAAAATAAACATTTCAGTCCTTTAGAGTGTACAGGAGCCAGGAGAGAGTGAAAGTCAAGGAAAGGAGCCAGATGCGTCAGGTACACGCCAGCTCCTGAGGAGGGCCGCGTCTTCACAGACTGCGCTGCAGAGCGCAAAGCGAGACACGCGGGCTCCAGCACGCACAGACAGGGCAGGCTCTCCCGCACCTCCCGGGGCCTGGAGCGGCGCGTGCTCCCGCAGGGAGCCCGAGGTGAAGGACTAGGCCTGCACACAAGCCCGGACGCCTCCTCCAAATGACTTTGCCAGGAAGGAGCAAAGCAAAGACTGTCAGGCTTCCAGTGAATACGAAATAGTAAAAAAATTGGAAATCTTAACACCAGCTGGCTAAATGTGTGATGTGCGTATTCACTCTCTTTGTAAATTTACTGAGCAGATCTGCACAGCACAAGCATAGAACAAATAAGGGCCTGGCAAAGTGAAGGTGGTCCCCGCATGCTGCTGGAACGCTGACTTCCTTGGAAGCTGCAGGCCGGCTCCAGGACGCCCTGTGAGTACCCAAATCTGAGGAAGCTTCCTGCACCTACATCTTTACAGCTTGGATGATTTAGGACAAAATGTTAACAGCTTTTATCAGCAAGGGGAAGGCGAAATCACAAAGAATAGAACATGCAGAAGGTATCCCCTCCTTTCCTGATGTTTACTTCTTTTATTAAGATGAACATTATATTTTCCATAATCTCAATAAGTAAAATGATAAAGGCAGGTGCTTTCTAGGTGGGATGCTAATACTTCTGAAGGTCGATGTCTAAAATAAAACCTTGCCAAACCTCCAAAGTCAGCAGTGATTAAATTTCTCACTCAGCAAAACCCAAAAGAAACAGACAAGTATGAAGCTAATCCCATCCTGTGCAGTGGAGTCAAAGGCGAAAGCTGCTGCGGCTGTACCTGAGTGAGACCCCGAGAGGGAGCTGAGCAGCCTGGCCTGCGGGTGGCTTCCGTCGAACAGCTCTGCCACGTCACCGGGCGCCGTCTGGAAGTGCAGGAACTGCCCGAACACCACTGGAAGACAGGGAGGGCACACACGCTGACACGGGCGACGCGAGGTGCGCTACCCAAGGAGTCCCCGTCCTAGGAAACGCGGGACGTTGGATTTATTCTGTCTTCTGAGTTTTCAGCAACTGAACAACTTTGTTTTGTTTCTTCATCGTCTGATACCGCACAAAAGAAATAAAAGGACTGTTTTCTGTAAAATGTGAACATCCCGAAGGATTATTTCATTTTAATGGATCACATCATAAGATAGTGAAAGATTTGGAATCCTATTCATTTTTGAGTAATTAGTGACATTTTATTTGGTGAAAAATAAGTATCAGTGTCAGGCACCATGATAATCTGATGAGGAATTTACAAGTTATTCTTCTATCTAGTCCCTCTTAATCTCCTGCCGACTCATATTAGCTCAGTCGTGTGCTTGATTCAGCACGATGCTGTGGAGACTGCGTGTGGCATGCCCACTGCGCGATTCCACCTGCTTTTTGGGTCCATCAGGCTGCGTGTTCACACTTCCTGGAAGCAGAACGTGACTACGCATTTCACAGTCCAGGTTTAATCCATGTCTGTGCACTAAAATTGAAGATAAGCCTGGATTTCTGGTATTTAGAAATCTTGTGACCGGTGTGTGCTCACAAGCCACAAGCAGCCTGCGCTGTGGTGGTTTTGTGTCGCTCTGCACGGCAGCCACGTCAGCCACGCTGAGTCATGATGGACAAAGACGGTGCTGTGCACGCTAATTTGTGCACGCGCTAAAGAGGACATCAGCGAGGATGCGCAGGGGAAGCCACCCGAGGCAGCATCTGCTGCGTCTGTGCGCATACCTGCGAGTGCTGTGGTGGAGTATTAAATACCCGTGACACTGCGTGACACAGCCTTCATCTTCAGATTTTAGTACTGCCTTGAGAAAACCACCAAGGAGGCCCCTACATAAGGCAGGTTCCCAGCTGGGTGAGTTGAGGCTGGCTAAGGCTTTCCGGGTTGGAGCTGGAGCGGCCAGGAGCCCTGCAGTTCCTCCTCGCGTCCCACCAAGCCTCCTTGCCCCGTCACCTCCCAGAGCAACTGACTTTTCTCACGTTCAGGCTGCATCCTTGTGCCCTTCGATTCATTAAAAAGATGAATCAACTGCACACAGTCTGCTTTCCCACAAGAAAACCTCCACTGGGTGCTAGCAGCTGAGGGGACGAGGAAGCCACCCATAGGCCCGGAGCGGCCACGCCGTCCCCTGTGCTGGCCTTCACACACGTGTGGGTGCCGAGCACTGAGAGTCAGAGGATGCCAGAACCCGCTCACCTGAGGGCCCCACGCCTGCTCCTGGCTCCGCTGACCTGAGTTCTAAACCTGCCAGGAGACTGGCTGTGCACAAGGACATCCATTGTGCAGCTGAGAGCAAGAGGCTGGGAACACACCTGGAGGGCGGGCACCTGCCTCACAGCTGGACCCGCACAGGGAGAGGTCCAGCCCCCGTGTGCTTGTGTGGGTGAGATGTCACACCGGGAACCTTTCGTGGCACGTGGAACACACGTGCAGAGCTCTGCAGGTGACAGCTGTGGCCTACAGTCTAAATGGCGCCTGTCTCCCAAGGCCAGTGGCCGTGCCTCAGGCCTCCAAGGACAAACGTGAACACACACCCTGGCCCAGAGCTGTACCGCATGCTCTTCACACGCTTCACCCAAAGAAGGGAGTGCAAATACTCATCAAGATATTAATGTGGTTCAGTTCCGGTTCTATAAATGAAACTTTTGCCCTGCCTTGGAGTGAACAGAGAAGACTGCAGTCTCTGCCGTCCTGCTGTAGAAGCTGCTCTCTGAGCCCAAGCTGAACCCAGCGAGCAGACTTCCGTCCTCACCAGGGTCCGGCCTGCGGGCAGCAGGCGCCCCAGGCATAGTAGCTGAGCATGTCGGGGCGCAGCCAGGCCTCACGCGCCTGTGTCCTGTTGGCGATTAACCCATCACCCAATCAGCAGCCTCCAGGAAAGAAGGAGGAAGAAACAAGTGAAAGAGGTGTGGGAGAAGCTCCACATGACTTCCCTGAGAGCTCCTGTCTTCTAAATCAGACCTTTCTGGGACAGAGTACAATGCTTGTGCCCTGAGCCCTGAGCCCTTCAGTTTTGACCTACTGGGAAATTATAATCAATATTTGAATGGGAACAGAGGGGCCGGGGAGATGGCTCAGTGGAATAGGCGCTTCCCTGGCAAGTGCAAAGGCCTGAGTTCAATCCCCAGTTCCAAAAAAAAAAGAATGGGAACAGGGGTTTTCCTGCTGAACAATTATGATTCCACTGGCATATCTATCAGAGGCTTACAATAAGCTATAATCATAGAATGAAGCTGCTAGAATAAGCTCAGGATAATAATAAGCTAATAAGATGCTTAGAACGAGGCTGATAAATATGTTGTTCTGAATTAACAAAATGCAAAAGGAATATTTATGTCATGGTAACTGGGTGCCTGGCGCATGCTGAGTTAAACACTACATTCCCCACATGGCTACAGAATCCAGACCGGGTTGCTCAAGAGTCCTCAGAGGACCAGCACAGGGTGAAAACGGAAAGTGTTCAAATACTGTCACTGACTTATTCTAAGAAAAGCCACCCCCAAAGCACAGTCTCAACTTTGACCAGTCAGCCTGGCTGCCGTCTGCACTCTGTGGAATGGATGCTTCCCGTCTTGGAAGCCGGTCGCCCTGTCCCGCCTCTGTCTCTCCTTCTTTGGGCTACGGCTGAATGCACTCTTCTTTACTGGGGAGGAGGTGGTGGTCCTGCCTCAAAAGAAAGCCACCAGCAGGGCAGCGCCGGCACAACAGCTGTGCGACCCGCTCCGGGCCTGAGCTGGGGCGACGCGCCAGGGCTGCCTGTGGCTCAGTCCTGACTGAGGCCTGGCTGTGACAGCGCAGCCGAAGGGCAATGTGGGCTCGTGCATCCTTGGGCAGGTCCCCGAAGCCATTGCATTCCCCAGCCCGACTGTGTTCTTTCAGTGTTTTATCTCCAATGTGTACTGGCCTTAGAATGTGCATCTGTTTTATTTCTACATGAGTGATTGCTGATTTAATGTAACCAAAAATCTTAGCTAGGCAGGGTTTTAACTTCTCCACTGGAATAAACAGAAATAGCCTGTAAGGCCATAAAAGCTTTGTCTGGTTCCTCCCGGGAGGCCCCGGCCCCTGGGCCGCTACCCAAAGCCCTGGCGGTTGGAAGCTGGTCTGGAAACCTGCTTGGGGGTAGTACAAGCAGGACCCAGAGTCTACTCTCCTGGAGCCACCGGGCCTGCTCCACGTTTGCAGGCCACAGACACAAGGGGACACAGGGCCCAGGGGATCCATCCTAATCTGATATTGCACTTCCCCGCCGGCCGGTGGTGCCCACAGGCAAGCCCTGGTCATGCATCCACCCCGAGCTGCTGCTGGTCTGGCTCTGCAGGATGAAGGCGGAGCCCAGAGCCGGAGCTCGGAAATAGCGGCCCACCACCGGGGTATGTCCTGAGCCCTTCTCTATACTCCTGTTTCAGGCAGGGTCTTACCACGTCATCCGGCCTGGGCCGCAACCTAACAGCCTGCTGCCTCAGCCTCCTGGGCAGCAAGGATCGCAGGTGCGCGCCAGTCCGCTCGCCTCCGTGGCACACATTATTCACAATTCTCCCTCATATACAAATACCCACTTTAAACAGTAATTTCTCCAGAAAGAAGAAAGGGGGCCACATCAATGTGTTGGTACTGGCCGGGCCAGTCTCCTAGAAAGGGAGATAACTAGTGATATCCCATTGGTGAGAGAAGGGCTGTGGACACTGCACGTGAAAGCGCCGGGAAGCCTGCTGCGGCCTTAACGCAGTTTGGTGCATATCGCTTTTGCTTGTCAAGATCTGTGGTCCTTACAGAGGGGCAGGAAGTGAGCCCCGAAAGGGATGCAGGAACGACCGGAGGGAGCAGGGCCGCAGCTTACCGAACTCCTTGGGCACGGCGATGGTGTAGAGGCAGGTCTGGCCGGCCGTGTAGTTGTGCGGGTAGTTGGGGGACAGGACCACACCTTCGGACCCCGAGTACTGGCCGCCGCACGGGGCTGGAAAGGAAGCAGCCGAGACAGGTGAGCTCGGGGCGCTGGGAGCGGCGGCAGCGGGGGCCGCAGGCGGGCTTGTTTCCAAAGCCAACGGAAAGAACAAAAGCAAGATCTTGTCCTGCACTGCTTTCAAAAGTAACAGAAAGGGAAGAGCACAGACTGACCACATTAAATACAATCTATTCACCTTGGGAAAAAGCGTATTATTTTAAGACCTATCTCAGGCATGCCAACATAATCATGAAAACAGTTGTCATAATCATAAAACAGGTTCTAAACTAATAATTTAGTATCATGAAGGACCCCGTAATCATCTAGTTTATATAAATCATCCTATTTAAAAGACACAAAGGTGGTTTGCTGTTTTCTATGCGACTAGTAGGAGACCGGAAGAATAAAACGCGACGACTTGACCCCAGGTAAATCCCGTCCAGGAGGAGGACGCGTGGCTGGGGCGCAGCGACGTGGGCGCGGCCTCCCTCGGTGCATTCCGCGAGGAAGGCGGGGCCGCGCGCCCGCGTGTGTGGAGAGGGGCTGCACATGGGGTTCATCCCCCGATTTTACATTTACCCTGACGAGGTTTTGCTGAGAAAAACAGGAAGCAGGAAGTCACTGTCCACGCTCAAAATGTTATGTAGGCATCGAGAAAGACTTGTGGCTTAATCCCAGGGACCTCTGGCTTAATCCCAGCGACCTTGGGCCGGCTCTTCACTTCCGCGTCCTGCGGGCACATGCCTGGGGCAGCCCCTCCGGGCTCAGCTCGAAGCTGCCTGCTGCGTGTGGCCTGCCTCTAACTGGTTTCTTGGAGGCAGCTTCCCTGATTCGCGGTCAGAGCTTTCAGTCTCTGAGAAAATTTATTTTTCTGCAGCTCATTTATTCTGATGTGGCACATTTCAAGCGTAAAAAAAAATACAATTTTTTGCCTAATCCCTTGGATGTTAATTAGCACACTGGTAAGCCCTCACTGACGGACAGAACAATGTCCAAGAGTAATAGGACTCCTTAAAATACCCTAATGCGAATGGGAAGGGACCCCGTGAGCGATTTATCAGGAGAGCTAATGACCCACCAACCGGTCTCCCAAATCCTTGCGTCACAAGGCTTGGAAAACTGCAGCCATATTTTGATTCAAAGGACGACGACAGCTCAGCCGACCGGCAGCCCCAGAGCTGCCCGCGAAGAGCTAGGAGAGAGGACCAAAGCAAGCAGCCCGGTGGGCTCGGCCAGGACTCCCTCCCGGCAGCTGCGCCACACCCACACCGAGTCCGCAGCACAAGCTGCAGTTTCATTTCCAATGGGGTACGCTTCTGTGGGCTCGTCTCCGAGGCGGGGGACTGGGGGGCTCGCCCAGCCAGGGGCAGCCTCAGGACCATCCCCTCCACTTCCGCGGGCTCGCCCTGCTAACTTCAGAGCAATTAATTCCCCTCACAAGCTTGAAGGTCAAAGTTCTAAAAATAAGTACAAGTGAAGAATGAAAATTCGTTTTATTTTTCCCCAGCCCTAAAAAGTTCAAGTAGATTATTTTGCAAATGCCTCTTTGCCAGCTAAACAATCCATGCACTTCAAATCTGACCTGAAAGTTTAAATGAAAAATAAGGGAAAACCGCCCGTCCCTAGGCCAGCAATGCGTGTGGGCGTCACTGTGAATGGGACCCTGCAAGGTACAACTACAAAGATACTTTGTCTGGGGGTAGAAGAAAGGAGAGCTGCCTTAGGACAGCAGGACACCCAGGACAGCCCAGGCGAAGTGCTGGAAGTGGCCCTCGCGGCTGGCCCTGCCGTAGCGGGTCAGGCCTAGGTCCAGCCCTTCCTGGAACTACAGGCTGACCACTGAAGCTACCAAACGTCCCAGACTCAGCCAAATGTTTCCGAAATTGATAAGCATATGCAGAGAATTTGCATTTAATTATTACCTCATTTAATAATTAGTAATAATTCTGTCCGTGCTCTTGTGTTAAAGTAAGGAGCAGCCATGACCCTTGGCCTGGTAACAGTTAACTTACATTAACGGAATGACAGAGGAAAAATAAATGTGTGCTCACTTTCTCTCTGGTACCAGCACATTAAACTATTTTCTAAATGAATGAAGGTAGGCCAGAGGAATCACAGCAGATCGTCGAAAGAGACCTGCTCATCCATTCTGCTAATTGGGATCGTCATTCACACGTGTGAGGTACCCCGAGCCTTCGGACCCAGCCCTGCCAGAAGGAGCCGCACTACAGGGCGCCTGAGTGTGGGCTGCGGGCACTGGGCGCCGCCTTCGGCTCCAGCCCCACAGTGAGCTCCAGGATGAAGGCTGAAGGCGCCAGGCCAGGCCACACAGCAGAGCACACTCCTGTATCTGAAGCACCTGGCCGCAGAGGCCTGTGTCCTGCAGCATGAGAACCACGAAAATGTTCAACGGTAGGCAGAGCTTCCCACCGCCGTGCTGCTGAGGGCCCACAGATGCAGTGCACGGCGGCTCCAGGCGCCACTGGGCCTGCCTGCCCTGACGCTCGGGGGCACGGGCTCCTAGTGCACGTGAGGAGAAGGCAGCGTTCCGTGGCTTCTGAGCTTTGAGTGCCTTAAAATGACACCACCACCACCACCACCTCCAACACCACCACAATGGTGCTTGAATTCACAGGTCTTCAGCCCTGAGAAAAGCAGTAATCTTTGATTTGACATTTGAACACGTTAGGACTGCATGCTTTTTTGTCCATGGCAAGAGCATCACCATCCTCCCTAGATTCAAACTGCTTTTAAACTTCATACAAACTAAATTCCCTTTCGTACAGTCACCTACAGCTCACAGGTTCACGCTCTGTCTTGAATGTGGCTTCCCCGCTTCATCTCCGCAGCCCCAGCTTCTTACATCTGCTCTACTGCCTTGTGCAGTGGGTCAGGGACATGCAGGGGTGCACTCCCCTCTGGTACACAGGAAGGGGACAGTAGGGGACAGTGGGGGAGCTCAGGTCACCAAAGACCAGGGCAGCCTGAGACACAGCCATCTCTGGATCCACCTGTCTTCTGCTCTATGAAATGTAACAGGTCCCTGTGTTTACTACAGCAGGGTAAAACACATAAGAATTCGAAGGCCTACAGGTAGATTTTTCTAGCAAGAGCTGCTTTATCCACTCCTTCATTAGTCATTGACTTAGACATCTAAATTCAACTCTTCCTCTGTGTGTGGCATCGCTGGGTCCTGGCAGAAGAGAGGCTGACCCGAAACCCCTGGGGTCACGAAGTGGCGAGCTTCAGCACAGGACCAGCGGCAGGCGCAGCTGAAAGGGGTCCTGTGTGTGTGTGTGTGTGTGTGTGTGTGTGTGTGTGTGTTTCAATTTTTCTTGTGCCTGCTTTTTACACACTTATTTGATCAGATGGGACCAGCAGCATTATTAGACAGGTGGATAACATTCTTATCCTAAATTCAATTTATTGAACTGAACAGGTCCCCGAGTAGATCCTAAAACAATCCAAGGAAATAGCTTTCTGGAGCACAGCATTCATCTCACCTTGCAGCGGGGAGCTGCTTTATTAATTTATCTTGGTCTCTACCCCAGGGCCTTGCACATGCTAGGCAGTAGAGGCTCTACCTCTGGGGAACCCAGTGCTGTTTCCTCAGTGCCTCCCTGGGGGCCTCTGCTCCTCAGCTCAGAGGCCCGGGCCCATCCCTGCTGGAGATCCCAGTGGCCGTCCAAGGAGAAGCGGCCCCTGGCCATGCTGAAAGCGGCCACAGGGGCAGCTGCGGTCTGACCGCGGCCCACAGAAAGCTGAATTTTGCTTTGTTCTTAAAGCTCATTTTTCATGAAGAGCCTTCGTTTTTACAAAACATGGTTTGGATGAAAATGATGCATCAATTAAAAAATATGTATTTTAAAGTATCCCTCCCTTCCTTTCCTTTCTCCTCTCTCTTAACACATCTATTGATTGGTTGTTAATGAGTTATTTATCTATTTCCTGCAAGAAAAGCAGTTACAAAATGTTAATTGGCACCACTCACATAGATCGGGTCTTCACACATAAAAACAGAAGTTGAAAGTGTGGAGCACCTTAGTGACAGAAAGAAGTGTCTGGCCAGAGCCTGTGAGCCGAGCAGGGCCAGCCAAGGTCAGGGATGGACTGGACACTGGGACACCAGCTCTGCTGCGCCCCTGCTGCGCTGGGTGTGGAGCCCTCCCGGGGCCCTGTGCCAGGGAGCTGCGTGAGACCCACCTGTGCAGGAGGGCAGGGCGCGGTCCCAGGAGGGCTTCCCGTCAGCCCCAATCACACAGGTGATGGACGATGGCTCCACGATCTTGTAGCCAGAGTCACACTGGTAGGTGACCGTGGAGCCCAGTTTGAAGTCGGTTCCAACTCTGGTCCCATTCATGACGCTCCCAGGGTCAAAGCAAGCTTCCCGTGGCTTCTCTGCAGGTGAAACGAATGAGCACATCATGAAAGATGCTGTTTTTTGGTTTTGCTTTGGGTCTGGTTATTTATTTATTTAGGGCTTAGCATGTAGGAAAAATGCTCAGATATATTTAATTAGCTAATGACTAAGTTAACGTATTGAGTAAATAAAAAACAGGTAAGTCAGGGAGACAGCTTGGCGATCTAAGCGCCTGCCTGGCAAGTGCACGGACTTGGGTTCAATTCCCGGTACTGCATGCCGTGCCAGCCACTGAACTGGGCATGGTGGCGCACGCCTGTAGTCCCAGCACTGGGAGGCTGAGACAGGAGGACCATTATGAGTCTGAGCTGTGCAGCAAGACCCTGCACCAAATCAATCAATCAATCAATCAATCAATCAATCAATCTTTAAAAAAACCAAAGAGAAATTCCCTTTCATAATCATAGTCTTTTTTAGGCGATGCCTTGTGATTGAACCAGCATGGAATGATGCTCAGCCTGATGCAATGGTAGAACACTATCTTTCGTGCCCTTGTCTCTGTCTTGGCTTGGATTTGAGGACCCAGATCCGTAAGCTACTCAAGAGAAGCAGGCTGTTTCTGACGTTTGCACTTAGCCCGCACTATCACAGACAGCTAAGTTAGGCAGGAATGTTCTAGATGCCCGGTCGGGTGGGCTGCACTGGACATAAGACATGAGCGCAGCGCAGCCGGCTGGAGGCGCAGCGTGACCGAGCCCGGGCCTCCAGAGACGCGGAGTGCCAGGCCCGCACGCCTCCCTGGGCAGAAGTGATGCTCTACGGCTCATGCTGCCTGGTGCAATAAGGTGTAGGTTGACGCCAGTCACCAGGTAGGTGACCAGGGCCTCCTGATGCATCCCTTCTGGAAAAGGTCCTTGACCCTCCCACGCACTGGCTACATGTCCTGCTTGCCCACTGGGCCAACAGTACTGAAGCAGCTAAACTTGTCATCTTATTGGTTGGTCACAGTTTTGTCCCACGCTGTGCCCACTTTGTGATTTGGTCTATACAGCAGCGTTCTTAGAGAGGCAGGGTCCAGTCTCTCAGGAGCTATCTGCATCTGCCAATGAAATTTTCCTGCTCTTGACCGCATTGTTCCTTAGCATTCATTCTCAGTTCTGGGGACCCCGGTGTCAT